AATCCTACTATACGGAGTGGCTCTGTGGTGAACCGCTCTGCACAAACAATGCATACTAACTCCTCCTTATAAAGTACAGCGAATGACGGCTTGTGTATTAGTGGAGCCCTTCGAACCACCCCGAATGAAGCGCTGAATGCGATCTTGAACCTCCCTAGCCTGGACTAAGCAGGCATGGAAAGGGCCAAATCGGCAGCTATTCGACTGAGGGACAACGGGCAGTGGAAAGCCCAATTTTATGGCCATGCTAAAATTCTCCAGCATCATAAAGCGATTCCGAAGATAACGGATCTATGCAAATCCATTGAATATAGTCAGACACCCTTTGATGCCCTTATTTCAAGTAGAGAGGAATGGGAGCAGGACCGACCGGGAACGACGGACGCAATCTGCTTATATTAGAAGGAAAAGTTGGCGGAAGTGTCATTCTGGCTCCTGAACCACTGTAGCGTCTTCCAGGTGGAGGTCCACGCTTACTGTCGCAAATCTCTCCACGAGATGGCTAATCAGTTTACTGTCAGCCTAATATGGGTTCCGGGTCACCGGGATATCGTAGGCAACTGCATAGCGGACGAGTTAGCCAGGCAGGGCACCATCAAGCCTCTCCTCCTAGGAAAGGAGAATGTCGGTATGCCCATGGCAACTTGCAAGCTAAATATAAGAAACTCCTTTAACAAACTAGCAAACAACCATTGGCAAACCGCACCACAGTGTCGTATCTCTCACCAGACATGGCCTGTGACAAACAACAAAAAAACCTCGGAATTACTCCAATTCAGCCGCACAGAGTGTGGCATGTTTATTTGAGCTCTTACAGGCCACTGGCTTGTTGGCACACATGCCGGCAGGCTAAAAGCCCCACAAAATGATTTCTGCAGAAGCTGCAGGGATGAGGAAGAAGAGGAAACGGTAGAACAGCTTCTCTGCTTCTGACCAACCCAATGCAGACTCAGACTGAAACACTAAGGAAGTCCCTTCATGGACGATATTACCGAAATATCGGAGATTAATCTCAAGAACATAAGTGCCTTTATAAAATCTTCCGAGTGGAAGGCATGCTGATCAGCTTAACACATGTTGAAACTTACTAGCTACGGCACCCTAGATAAGGAAAAACGAGATCATGCGGTCCATTTCCATTTCGCTCATTTCAATATATAGAATTATGTTAATTAAAAATTATATAATTTAGATGATCATCATCACACATTGTTGAGAGCAAGGCTTCCATTTTCGTTTAAAATGATTTGAGGCTGGCTATCCAACGGCCTTCACTTTCTCTAATTACCAAATGGTAAATTGCAAAATAGTTTAAAATTAATCGTTATATTGATGTCTTTTTATAGCGCATCTTTTATAATTGATTTACTAATTTAATTTAGTTAATAATAAAGAAATGTAGTATCCGAGCATTGTTTATTGGTATTTATACTCGTTACTCGTAGAGTAAAAGGGTATACTAGTTTCGTCGTAAAGTATGTAACATGCAGAAGGAAGTGTTTCCGACCCCATAAAGTATATATATTCTTGATCAGGATCACTAGCCGAGTCGATCTAGCCATGTCCGTCTGTCCGTCTGTCCGTATGAACGCTGAGGTCTCGGAAACTATAAGAGCTACAATACTGGGATTAGGAATGCAGATTCCTGAGATTCCTGCGCAGCGCAAGTTTGTTTCAGAAATGTGACACGCCCACTCTAACGCCAAAAAACCGCCCAAAACTGTGGCTCCTACAGTTTTGATGCTAGAATAAAAATTTTAACTGAAAAGTATTGTTCTTGTCAATACCTATTGATTAATCCTAAAAAAAAGTTTGTTACGCCCACTCTAACGCCCACAAACCGCCCAAGCCTGTGGCGCCCACAATTTTCATTCTAGATAAAAAATTTTAACTGAAATGTATTGGTTCCGTCAATACCTATAGATTGACCAAAAAAAAGTTTGCCACGCCCCCTCTAACGCCCACAAGCCGCCCAAGCCTGTGGCGTGAAATGTATTGGTCTCGTCAATACCAATGGATTGATCCAAAAAAAATTTTCCACTCCCACTCTAACGCCCAAAATGCTTAAATCTGCCTACCGCCGGTAGGTGGCGCATTTTAATCTTGCTTTGCTGCTTGCATATCTCCATATCCCTTTGGTCCCTTGAGCTGAGTAACGGGTATCTGATAGTCGGGGTACTCGACTACAGCGTTCTTCCTTGTTTTAATCATATAAGTTTTAATGCGACTACGTAATCCACTTATTTTACATATCAGTTATCATTGAATTGTACACAAGATAACTGTTAGTACGCAAATTATGCGACCAGTAAACGTTTACAATATGTGTGTTTGGTTAGATGTTGCGTTGTTGTCGCTTGCACTATTATTATTCTTAAGGAACTGTGGTTCCCACAAGGTCACATTGCCTTTATTATTCGGGGAAAATTATATAACAGGTAGACGGAAGCATCTCCGACCCCATAAAGTATATATATTCTTGAAGGTCATCACTAGCCGAGTCGATTTAGCCATTTCCGTCTGTTCGTATGAACGCTGATATCTCGGAAACTGTAAGAGCTAGAATGTTGGAACTTGGCATGTAGATCCTCGAGCTTCCTGCACAGCGCAAGTTTGATTCAGTAATCTCACTCTAACGCCCACAACGCTAGAGCTAGCGCCCACATTTTTTATTATTTTGTAATAATGTAAATGAGATTTTGTTCTTAGTATTAAACCCATCTACATGCCAAAAATTAATCGAATCGGACCATTCATTAAAAAGTTATAGCCAAACAATAAAAAAATAATAAGCAAACTCAATATTGTGGTAGGAGATATATTCATACAGAAAATCGACTGCTTACGAAATTTCACTAGTGACACCTAAATATCACGTTATGAAGCGTGTTAGTGAAATTTCGTATACAGCCGATAGGAACGAACGATAGGTGACGCTATGCTGTTAGCTGAGTAGTCGGTATCTTAAAGTCAAGCCCGTCGGCTATAGCGTTTTTTCTTGTTTTTATGTATAGTACTTTTTACTTTACTTCAAAAAAATGTTTCCAATGGTTTTCTTTTATATAAATTTGTATTTCCCCTCGGCGACTTGTGTAGCCGTCTCGAACAAAGATTTGAAGATCTGTGGCAGGAAAGCCACAAACTCGTGGCATTGTAGCATAAGTCTCTCTCTAAAACGTGCTTTTTACGATACGCTCCTCGTATGATGAGCGGCATATCGAAGGGTAAGTCTTTAACGCTCTTGATCGGCGGGGGGTTGGCGGAAGCAATGTCGTTCCATTCGTTCTGGAAGTCGGACATGTCTAGCAAGTATTGTACGAATTCCTAATGAATTCTATAGTGCTTCTACATTGGATGTTTATACCAATCCCGCTAGCCACAAAGAAAACTCTAGAATTCAGTTAAGGTTGTGGAATTTCACAACAGTACGAATAAAACCCCTAGAATTCAGATAATAACATTGAATACTTATACAATGTTTCTTGTTTTTTTTACTAACCAGAAAAAAAACTGTAGAATTCAGATTACATTATTTAATTTCACAACCGTTATGAACAAATACCCCAGAGCTCAGATAATATTGTGTAATTTCACACGAGTATTGTAGTATAAGTTAAGAAGCAGCTAGCAACAAGCAACACAAAAATTGAGACGGCAAACAAAGAAAAATTAGCTGAAGAGCAACTTAAATTTAAAAACCCAGTCTCAGGCTCAAAATATCGGAATGCTACGAGGAGCGACAAAAGAGATATTTGTGAAAACCAGGACAATCATAAAGATTGTGTCGCATGGGATGTAATGAACAACGTTTACAATGGCAGCTGGAAAAACTTTCGATGCAACGCACGCTCTTATGTTTCGGCTGCGCTCGTCGGCTTGAGGGGATGGTATAGTGTTGCACCGAAAAATGCCTTAATGTTGTCAACTTATCTTAAAATTAGCGTGCTGCGACAAAATATGCCCCACAGATACACATAGACATGCACTGTAAGACACAACTACAACCGGAGATAACGAAACTACGAACTGACACCTCATATGCACACACACATTCAAACATGACCACTGATGTTGTTGTGGTCAATGCCCACCCTACCTATGGCCGTTACATCCTGGGGAGACCTCTTCCCACGGCCCCTTCCACATTTCTACCGGTGCTGCCCCAGCCCGAGTTCAACTACAAATCTCTTAGAAAATCATTATAATTTATTGCCTAACTGTAAAGTGAAACATTAAACATATAAACATTAGCATAGATGAACAAATAAATCTTAAAACATAAACGGGACGTTAAATAAAAAAAATACAAAAAAATAACATTTAATTAAACAATATCTTAAAACTTTAATTGAGCCCTGGATTGCATTCGCAAATCGTAATCTCGAAAATTTGTCGCGCAGCGACTGCAGTCAGCGCTGCCAAAAGAAACTACACGCAGAATATATCAAAGCAAATTAAATCAAAACAACAAAAGCATTTGTGGATCTGATAGAACCAAAACTACAAACATAAAAATCCCTCGGCAATGGCCGGGATGCGATACCAGGCGCGCATGCGCGACTGCTAGCGAGCTCTGACGCCGCTGCTTGTGCGCCCAAGTGGCGGTAAGGGAGAAAGGGAGGGATGCTAGCGGGCGACTACGTTCTTATCTTCTTTTCATTTACTTCTCGCGTTTCTTTGCGACGGTGCGCTCTAGTTTGCCCTGCGGGGTTTTTTTGCGAATATTTCGCCGTTCGCGTTTAGGTGTTTAAATTAAATGAAAGTTTAACTCACGTAAAGTTGTGCCGCATCCTCCGATGAAAGCGCTTCCAAAGAGGTTGCCGCATCTGTAAATATATTGGAAAATATCGCCCTCCTAACAAACCTCGCGCATAATCTTTGTTGTTACCTAATCTTTATGTTCGTTTTGTTCGTCTATATGACCGACTGTTCTTTTGTGTTTCTTGGAGTTATTGGACTTAGGTTTAAATGAAAATAATGACAATAAAAACAAAGTGCATTTAACTAATCATGTTGACCTTCTTCAGGTGGTCAGGAATATTAATTGGTGGATTTCAGTGTTTTCATCACATTAAGGAAAAGCACAGTGTGCTGCCCTGTGGAACGCCGCGTTTGAGGGAAAACCTCGATACGGCCTTGCCGCTGGCGGCTGATCCAAAAAAAAAAACGCTTGCGCTAAACAAACAAATGCGCCTGTGCAATTCTCTTTGTTGATTGGCGCTTAGAAGCGCCGTGGTTTGCTTGCGCCAACTCTTGGGTGTGGTTGCCACAATCCAGGCTCGCCGCCGTGGTAGAGCTACCCTCTTTGGCAATACTCGTCGTGGTGCTCCGAGATCGCTCTTCCGCGTCGCTGTCGCTTGCCGCTGCGCCACAAAGTCAAAGTTAAACCCAAACTGGGAGGAAATGCCTAACTCACCCTTTGAGCCACTGCTGTTGCAAGGGGCTTGAATCACTCCTCACGGGATTAAGTTCGAAATGTCTAAGCTGCAAAAGGTGCAAATTAGCATTTGAAAAACCACAACTTTTTCACTTTCACCCACTTGAAATTGCACTTAGAGTCTCACTTGCTATGAGCGGCTGACGCCAGCGGACCGCCTTTTATACCCCCTGCAAGACGCCACCAAACCGCGATTCCACCACTCCGCCGTTTGCCCACAGAGAGGCGCGAAAATCTTTTTCTCCTTATTCTCGATCAGTCTCTCCTAGCAACCCACACAGCCACAGTTTTTCCGGACCTACTAGGAGCGCAGCATGTTGCCTTGTTTCTCCCAGATGTTCTTAAGCGACATGTTGCTAAGCATCCGCAAAAACATTGTTGCTAAGCAACCATAGGTGCTGGTCCAGGCTATCCGAAACCCAGATACATTACTGGTACACGCGCACTTACAGGGATAAAGGAAAAACAGATAGATCACTGGATGCTTACTGGTGGATTTTGTTGCTTACGTACTTGGAAAGACCAGTGTCTACACCGATTTCGACGTGTTCTACAAGTCGGAAAAATATGGATGGAAACAAATAGAACGTCACGACTGTCGTCAAGTTGGACCTCGTTGCTGTGCCCCTGGGAGAACTTGTATTTTGGAATTTTCTAGAGTTATTTTCCAGAATACTCTTAAGCTGTCATGTTGGTTTATTTAGATTCAAGAACGAAGGTATTCGTGTGTTGATTTATTATTAGAAAAAGTAAGTTGTGAAAGATTCTCTCCTTTTCACAAGTGAGTCACAAACATGTCACTATAAACAGGAACGCACACAAAATTTACCCCGATCATTAACCTTACTAACCAAAAACCGACTTGCCGTGCCACCGACTCCAAGGCACTCGATCACTGATAATATACCGTCAAGAATGGGATAAGATTATGAAATTGGCTGTAGATTTCGACTAAGTGTCTATCGCATCGCACCGGGAACCAACGGGCGACTTTAGCGGCAGCCAAACATCGAAGAAGTACCTCATCAACGGAATCGACGGAGTGCCATAAGCAGCATTCTCCGCAGGTTCGAACACAGGACAACCACATTCCGGATCATCGCCAGCGTTGGGGACTACCGAGTACATCATCGTTCTGGACCGCCAAATCGTCTAGGATTACATAACTCCTTGGCCAACATACACACAGCTAACGGACAAGAACTCCATTGCTGCGCACACACACACGCACTCGCGTGCCGTGAGTATACACACACACACTGCATACTCTTTATCCATCTCTGCCGCCTAATTCGAATGCCGCTGAAAATAAATCTGTGCATGCATAAGCCTTACCGCTGCTCAGGGAGCTTAACGCCGAGCTGAACTTTAGTTTTGATTCCCTCTAGCAGAACTGTTGTTTTCGAATGGCTCAACGCCATGAGTTCAACCAACAAAGCTTACACGAGCCCAAGCGACAAGGTGCAACAACGATCAAAAATTGAGAACAACATCAAACGACTAGCGGACCGCGTATAATCAAACTCAAAGCAAACAGCAGAATATCTTGTCTGCAATTTACCAACTCTTGAGTCACACTTTTGGCAGCTATCTCAGCTGCAAACTAGAATCGAAGAGTTGTATTTCGACGCCGACGGACGCGCCGCAGGCTTTGATCTTATTTGTAGAAACAATACCTACAGCAATTAGAAACGTTTTGAGGGCGCATTCATAAGTCTTGTACATAGTGATCAACCTATTCCTCAGATCGACAAACTCAATTATTTGTTAAATTGTTTGTCAGGACCAGCACTTGAAGTAGTAAGGGCGTATCAAGTATTAGAAGATAATTACCCCGACTGGAGGAACGTTATGATAATAGCGTACTTACCTTTCTAGACTCCATTTCCAATCTGATTAACATACGAGCAATCGTCAAGCCAGATGCGGCAGGACTTCAGCGTCTAATCGATACATCGTCAGCTATTCGAGGGTCTCTCTTATCTTTGGGCAGTGCGAATGATATTATGAATGCAATATTGATTACCCTGGTTCTCTCAAGGGTGGACGCAGACACGCGACTGAGCTACGATGAAAAACAATCTTTCGGTCAGCTCCCTAATTGGGACGAGTTTTGCAAAACGCCAGTTGCCAGTTTTTAGAAGGTCGTCAACGCATCTCAATCGAAACCCGCCAAAGGGGATTCATATCAAAAGCCGAAGTCGTTCCCAACATCGCCGTCAAAGTCATTTACTACCCAGGCCAGCTGCGATTACTGCAACTCGGAAGGAACCTGTAAAAAACGCATTTCTCAGCTTCAACTGTTTACGATAATATCGCACCGTAGCTGAGAGCGTGTCGAATTCAAGAATTCTTAACCAAACAAGATCATACCGCATCTATCGAATGTCTTTCAACAGATTTGCATCATAGTCAGGCAGCAGCTCTTCAGCCAGGAGCCCCACAGGTTTCTCTTCTAGCACGTACCGCAAGAAAAAGTCTCATACATTGTTAGACTCAGGATCGGAGTTAAACTTGATCACGGAGGAGACTGCCAAACGTCTGTAGTTATCAAAATGCCGCGTCAGTCAAACTATCAGTGGTATTTCGGACACTCCAATGCAAATCAATTACAACGTACACACCACCCTCAAGTCACGAGTTTTGGACTTTGAGTGGACATCCAATTTCGCAGTGATCGCATCCATTTGTGCACAGCAACCTAGTAGCGGCCTTAATATCACCGAATGGAACATGCCAGAGGGGATCGTCCTAGCTGATCCAACATTCTATCAACTTAGCAAAATCGACATTCTAATCGGAATAGAAGGATTCTTCGAAGACATCCGAGTTGGAAAGTGCACGATGGGTACAAATATGCGCCCGGTCATCAATATGAGTTTTGGTTGGGTAATTGGGGGAAGTACGATCTTACCTACTGAGCCTAAGCGATACAAATGCAATTTCGCTCAAGACCAACCCTCTCTAGATGCAATCGTTTTACATTTTTGGAAGGATTAGGCTCTGTGAACAGCACTACGAAACCACCGTTGCCATTCGATCTGACAATCGCATTACAGTTAGACTTCCATTCAAGGAAGCACCGCAAACATAAGGCCAATCGTACGACACCGCCGCCAAACGTTTCTTCCTACTTGAACGTAGGTTAAGCAAAGATCCCTCCTTAAAGGAATCCTATGTTCAATTTATGCATGTATACATTACCACAGGTCACATGTCACTCATTGATAAAGGAGAACCCCATTTCTTTATTCCCCACCACTGTGTGCTACGGCCTCAGAGCTTAACCACAAAACTACGAGTAGTTTCCCACCATCCAACAAGATTTCTTTACGACACTTCTTTCATTTCGCCTCCATCGTTACGCCTCATCAGGTGACATCTCAAAGATGTACCGTCAATTTTTAGTCGACGAGCGGGACTGCTTATTCTCCGGAGAGAGAACGATACTGACATTCTGCAGGTATATCAGCTGAATACGGTGACCTACGGTGTCTCAGCAGCTCTTTTTCTCGCTACTCGTAGTCTGTTTCATCTACCCAATTTGAACGCAGCCACAGTATTACGAATTGATCTGTATGTCGATGATCTTTTAACAGGAGCAGATGATCTGCACACCGCACTACAAAAGAAGGAGGAAGTCTCAGACCAACTTAGTAAGGCCGGTTTGACGATGACCAAACTCAATAGGAATTTATCCATATTGGGCAGTTTATCAGACGGCAAGGTTTCAATGCAGCTGGAAAAATTAAAATCAACGAAAATGCTTGGATTAGCACGGCAACCATCTGACGATGTATTCATTTTCCAATTCAAATTCGAGTTTTCTGAGACTTTTACTAGACGGAAGGTCATATCTTAAGTATCTCGGATATTCGACTCGCTTGCACTTATCGCCCCCATCATCATTAATTGCAAAATGTTTATTCAGGATATAGTTATCCGGAAACTTTCGTGTAATGAGCCGTTCCCAACGATTTTGGTATCGTATGGCGCAACTTGAAAAACTACAAGCCTCGTTTCATGTCATAAATCAAGTGAAATCTTCCTCCGGATCGACTTTACGGATAGGGTCCATTTCTGGTGTCATGAGTTGACTCCTGCGGGCCCTTCCTGACCTCGTACAAAATTCGAAGCGATTTTAAATTCTCGCCCCATCGCGCCAGTATCGGACGACCCAAATGATAAAGCTGCATTGTCGCCAGCCCATTTCCTTATTAGGTGACCTTTATTGTCTGCACCAGATGACTCCAAGTTGACTCCAAGTTGCGCTTCCTTACTAGATGGCAAGGCGTGACATTCATCAAGCAACATTTCTGACGCAGTTGGAGAAGGGACTACATCCATTCTCTTTAAGCTCGTAGCAAGTGGACCAAGCCGCAAGCTAATATCCAAGTCAGTCAGCTCGTAATTGTACACGAAGACAATCTCTTCCTCCGCAATGCTGGAACCTTAAAAAATTAAAAATACCTATTGTAAAGATGTGGTAACTCTGTAATCTGTAGCTAACACGTCGCAACTACTGTTTTCTAGTGGTGCAAAAAGCGTGACTTATTAGCTTACCTACCGCAACTCTCGTACATGATTTTGGCACGCACCGAACGCGTCTTTTTCTAACAATAAATCTTCAACCGTCAAATCTTTATTCTTTGACTGCGATTGAACAAGCATTATATAATATTCATTCATTTTTTTTTATTATTGTAAACATGTTTCATTATATAAATAGTTATATATATATTAGGTTGTCAAAAAGTCCTGCGGTATTTTTATTGAATTTTCAATAGTTCATAAAATAGGTTACAATAATGCGATTCAAATCAAATATGCGTCATTTTATTCGATGACGCGATCCCAACGGGATACCAACTTCATAAAGCCTTTCTTATAGAAGGTCGCTTCCCTATTGGCAAAAAACTCGGAGAGCCAATTTTCACAGGACTCTCTTGTGGACAACTTCAGACTACCAAGTGCGTTCGCCAGGAACAGAAACAGGTGGTAATCACTTGGTGCGGACAATACGGTGGATGCAAAAGAACATTCCATCCTAGCTCCCGGAGCTTCTGGCGCGTCCCCAAAGATGTGTGTGGCCTGGCGTTGTCCTGATGGAAGACAATTCGACCTCTGTTGATCAAAGATGGACTCTTCTGCATGAGTGCTACCTTCAAGCGGTTCAGTTGTTAGCAGAACAGGTCCGAATTGAGTGTTTGGCCATAGGGGAGCAGTTCATAGTGGATGATTCCCTGTCAATCCCACCAAACACACAGAAAAACTTTCCTGGCCGTCAATCCAGGCTTGG